CAAGGAGCATGGCAGAGCCATGACGCCTTCCTACACCAGGCCGCCTCACGAGAAAATTGGAAATAAAGAATTCCTGTCAGCGGCAGCTTCAGAAAAGGATGAAAGTGTCTCTGGCCATCTCAGGGACTGAAGCCCCACCACCAGCTTCCAGCTTTGGGGTACCCACGGGCTAGCACCCCACTTGCTCAAGGGCCTTCAGGGTGTTAGGGGAGGCAAGGATGCTCCCCTGGCCCCCCACCACCCTTTTTTGAGCTCTCCGTTGGGCCAACAGCCCAACCCCTCCCGCTCACCGTCAGAAATATCTGTGACCCACGTCCCTGCCATCTCTGCAAGTGCTTTTTAAAAACAGTTTCAAGGCAGATGCATATAAAGGAGGCCAGAACTGGGCCCTCCGGGTGATGCAGCTTGTCAAAGCACAGCACTGAGAAGCTAAAGCCACTTCAGCATGAGCTTGATCCCCACCCCGGAGGTGACCCAAAGGGCGCAACAGACCTCTCCCGATCCCCCCACTGCTCCCTCAGCAGTGTACTTTGTCAGTCAGCCTGTTCTGCTCCCCACTCTGTCTCTGGGGAATCCTCTCACCGCCCCTGTACCTCTGGCCTGTACCCCAGTTCTGTATGTCTGTATGCACAAATAAATAAATCTTAAAAAAAAAAAAAAAAAGGCCAGAACCTTGTTGAGCCCAGGCACATGGTGTAGGCATCACCTCCGAGTGTGGGGAAAAGCACAGAAGATCTGGCCAGCTCGTCTTCGAGGGTCATCCCCCACCCCAGGCCTCAGTTTCTCCCTCTCAAAAATGGAAGTTCTCTGCTGCATCAGCAATTTCCTTTTCCTAAACTGCAGACTCCTGTTTCCCAACTGGATCTTCCTCAGATACCAATTCCACAGTTGTGGAATTGCAGCTGCTACCAGGGTGGGTGGGGGTGGGGGAACACCTGAATTCCAGGCGCTCAATCCCTGGGCTGTTCCCAGGGTCGCCCAAGGGCACCCTGCTCAGGATCCCAGGGCTCTAAATGAGCACTGTGGGCCCTCTTGACTTCCAAGGGAAATGCCAATCACCCCTGGTGCCAGGGGAAAACAACCCTCCAGGCTGACTTCAGTCAGGGCCAAAGACACTGCAGAACCTGCAGGGAGAGGAAGAAAGGCAGCTGTCCCAAACCACACTGGCTCTGGGCAAGAGAAGGGTGGCTCAGCCCTGCCCTAGCCCCTTGAAGTCAGACCTGAGGGTAGAGGAACCCCCTCCGGTGTGAGGGTGAAGGCTCAGAGAGGGAAACAACTGGCCTGAGGTCACACAGCACAGAGTGGCAGAGCTGAACCTCAGAAACGGCTCCACTTATTCAAAGTTCAGATGGATTCGCAGGAATCTCCCGGGGAAAAGCCCCCTGCTTGCAAACTCAGAACAGGGTATTTTGGTGATACTGGGTGATGACCAGCCAGAGATGTTTGTTTTGGTTTCCAAATCACACAACCTAGCCAGTGTTACAGTTTCGGTGGCCACACTTCCCACGTGGTAAAGAGCTCCGAGCTGAATGGCCCAAAGGAACAGGGCACCCAGGGGCTCGGATTTGTGCAGGGGCTTCGAAAGCAAGGTCCCGTGTCACGGATGGCGCCTGAGGAATGGGAGGTGGTACACAGTGGTTTTCACATTTCAGTGTAATTGACTATGTAGGTGCAGTGGGGTGCTCACAAGTAGGGCTGCAGACAGTGGACTGTTTATTCAGTACTGTGAAGGAGACTATTTCTGACTCATGTTAGAACACGGATGAGCCTCAACAGTCGTCAGTGAGGGAAACCAGGCACAAAGGCTACACAGGAGAGGACTCCATGTATAGCAAAAGCCCATCTACAGAAAGCAGCTGGGTGCAGCCCGGGCTGGTTGGGCCCAAGGACGAAGCACAGACAGGCAGGAAGGCGCTTTTGGGGGTGATGCAAGTATTCTAAAACCGGATAGTCGTGATGGTTGCACAACTCTGTGGATCTACTAAAAATCATTAGACTGTATGCTGAACATGGGAGGATTTGTGACATGCAAATTACATGGCAATAAAGCTATTAAAAAGCATTTTGCGTGAGTAATAATATAGGTGGAAGTACATGGCTATGGGTGTAATCATGCAGGGGACGCCAAAGGCCTCCAGCGTGGAGACCAACGGACCCATCGTCCTTTGGGGTTCATTGAGTGGGGTCTCCTGACTTCAAGCCCCTGAAGAGGATGCCGGGAATCCTGCCTTTCTCAGCACAGACTCCTTCCACTGGTCACTGGTCACCGCTTGCGACCCCACACTAGAGGGGAAACTGAAGACCTGGGGGCCAAAAGTTCTGGCTCGGTCTCATGCCATAGACTGTGGCTTCTCCTATGGACAGGGCGCCGGAACACAGCTGGAGACTCAAACTCAGACATGTCATTACCGGAAGAGCCTTTCTGATCATCTAGCCCAGTGGTTGTTAAGATATTCTTTAATAAAAGTTAATCAAAGGCCTGCTTTCCTCCCAAAAGAAAACTATGATGAGAAACCTAAATGTAGAAACAAATAAAAACAGAATGTTACCTGTGTAAATGTAGATTGTCAGTTCCAATACACAAGTCACCTGTTCTAAATTCAATCCATGAGGTGGATGAGGTTATTTGGCCCATTAATCCAAGGAGCTGGGATTATGGATGACAGGTCCTCATTCGGTTTAATTCTAGCCCCAGTTTTATCTACAGAGTGTCAAGAAAATCCTCACTCACAGAGACAAGTAGCTACCAAGGGGGACAGTTTCAGTGACTTGCTTTGCCATCTCAGAACGTCCATGGGTTTTAATGACTCGGCAGTAAGAACTTGAAAGTGAGAGACTACGTTTTCATGACCATATAAACATTTTTATATATTTTGAAATGTTAATTTATATTTATATTTAATTATTTTACTTGTATTTTAATTGTTGTGCTTATGTTTAATAATCTATCATTTACATATGAATCATTATATTTATACTTAATTATTTATGTATATTCAAGGACTTCCTAAAGCCCCTCTTTGAGGCAGCTGAGGTCTTTGAGGAGCATCGCTTACTTGACAGATAGGGAAACTGAGGTCCAAGGAAGGGCACACACTTGCTTGGGGAAAATCCAACCGGACCCCCAAGTCAATTTCAGGCAAGATGCGCCCGCCAGATGCACCGACAATACAGAGGAAGAGAAGGTGCAGGCCTGTCCCCTAGGCAGGGAGAGGGCCACCCCGTGCTCCACCTGTCTCGGCAGCACCCGGCTCGTTCCAGACCAGCGCCAAAGGTGACATCACACCCCACACCCTGGGTGCAACTTAACAGCATTGCCCAATGCCAGCCTATCTCCTCTAAGACCTGCCACAGTGTTTCCATCTCCTTAGTAGCCAGGTCCAGAAAGCAGACACAATAAAACAAACACAACAAAAGCCTGGCACGTGATGCCACAATTCACAATGACCAACAGAAGGGCCCATCCCTCCAAGTTCCTCCATCAAGAGCAAGTGCCTACTTCCCTCCCCACCCCGCCCCAAAGACACCACCCACAGGGACAGAGAGGAAGACTCCCCAGGCTGGGCCACCACAGCACTCAAAGGACTTCAGAAGTGACCACCAGCCCTGGAGAAGGGCTCCGAGAGCAGCTCCGGGCCTCAGCCTCAGCGAGCTGCTAGTTTCACAGGTTGTCACCTCTAATCACTTCCCATCCCTATACCATCCCTTTACACCGCCTAAAAAGCAGCATCCTACCCTCCCCCCTCCCTGCAAGCAAAACCAACTCATGTGTAGACTTTATCATTCCCATCCCTCTGAAGAGCAGTTTCTCAGTGGTTCAACTATCTCACTGGCAGTGATGGCGGTGGCATCTGAATGCCTATGGCCAGCTTATGCAGTGGAAGAAAAAGAAGCAGCCCAGGTCCAGCTCCCTGGGCACAACTCTGCTCAAGTGAGCACCAGAACCCAAGGAGTGCAGGGCAAGATCCTTCTCAGCACATCCTCCAAGCCCTGGAGTTTAGAGGCACGCTGGAGATGCAGACTGGGGCAGCACAGGGCCCTGCCCCCACCCGGGCTGACTGTACAGACAGACCCCTCCCCTCTCCTCCGCAGGCCAGCAGACAGCACTGTCAGCCAGGATGCAGGCAGGAAGCAATGTCAGTTTCCCAGCTGGGGATCTAGGCCGGGCAGGGACATGTGGTCAGCCCTGCAAGCAATCTGCTCCTTCAGCCCAGCCTGAGACAGAGGTCTGGCCAGCCTGAACCCAAGGTTATTATCTCCTCCTGTGGGCCTGTAGAGTGAGTGTGTGTGGCCCAATAAAACAAGACGGTTGGGGTGTAGAAGGCAAACGGGGTGTATTTTTAAAGCTGTGGCCATTCTGATGCCAGCTAGGCATTACAGAGCTGAAGCAAGAAGGCAGACTGGTCCCAGTTGGTAAGGACAGGGCTATCCATTTCCATACACAGGATTTCGTGTAATCCAAGGGAGGAAAAGGCAGAGGGGTGGTTAAGCGTTTTTCCTTTTCCATAGAGGGAAGGGACACCATCTCTTATGTCCTTGGGAAAACACCTAGGCTGGGAGACAACCGAGCAGGAGCAGTTAAGTTCAGATTCCTGGTTCTCCCCTTACCAGGCACTTGTATTTCTGTGCCTGTGTCCTCAGCTACAAAATGGGAACAAGAAAACCCACATACTGCATTGCTGTGAAAATAAGTGAGATCACGTAAAACACCGATGGTCATTATGCCGCCTAGAAGATAATGAATCTGACCCAGCGAGAGCCCCGAGGTGTCCCCTACCGTCGTCAGTCAGCGCCGGGTCCATTCTCGGAACTATACAGATAACTGCATTTTGCAAGCACGTTGTAGCCGGGCAGGGCACTCTGCAAACACAGCTTCCAGCCCACCTGCCAAGACCAGCTGGCAGCCCCGGCCCCTCCCGGACACACGCATTCCGCGGCTTCGAGACCTGGCCCCGCGACCCCGGGGCCCGGGCTTGGGGGAGGGGCGGGCCCCCACTCACCTCCGCTTGTACTCGTCTCGCTCGCGCTTCACCTTGGCCAGCACGTTGTAGAGCGCGCGTATCTCGGGCGTGATGGTGTCGATCTGCACACCCACGCCGTCGGGGTGCACCCACGACACGCCGGGGCCCTGCACGGTCTCCACGCCGCCGCCGCCCGTGCGCCGCACCTGCGTGTAGCTCCAGATGGTCCCGGGCAGGCGGCCGTAGTGCTGCGGGTGCGAGCCGCCGCCTGGGGGCAGGCC